AACAAAATACATAATAGCATTGGTTTTAGCTATATTTTTAGTATACAATTTGTTGTTGCTCTCAGTGACCTTTCTTAATGAAATCGACCATAGGATGTACTCTTATTTCAAAGTAGAAAGAGTTAACCTCTTATTAAACTAAATATAAAAAGTTACTATTATTTTATAAAACAATTTTATTGCATTCAGTTATTTATAAAGTATGTATAAATTAAATGAATACCATAGTCTCTTACTGCTATTGCATAATTGAGCAATATATATTATATTATGTACACAAACGTCATTTAATTTATAAAAAAATATTTAAATATACAGTAATTAATAATTTTATATATAATTTTTGTTTTAGTTAATGTATCTGTTTTAAATAAATACCTAAGAACGCCTATTAATACAAATATAATATAAACAATCATTTAAGTAATAAATTCTAATTAATTTAGATACTCATTAAAATCCTTTTGTAGATGCGTTAACGTTGCAAAACGGGTGGGGTAAGCATTAATATAAGAAAAGGGTTATACAATGTTATAATTATTATAAAACATATAGGATTAGAATCAAAATAAAAATATGTACTATACAATAAGACTAGCTTTACATGCAAATAATACAAATTAAATGTTTCCAAAAAATTATCATGCAAAACTTAAAAATACCCTAAAAAATTATATTGCACAGTATAATAAATAACTAATTAACCATATAGGAATAATGCAGTAGCAACAAAATGTTAAAAGAAAACACATTACAATTACATAGGACGGACGCTGGTTATACATAAGACATACAAAGTGAACAAGAAGCGTTCTTACAAATGCTAACAGATTCTTTGAGTTTACGTATTTAAAAAATTATACAATAACAGCAAAATAAATTTAACAGCGCTTGTTTTTTATGGCAAGTCGAATACTGTAAAATTTTTAGTGGCAAGATTGATTGCAACATGAATTAACCTAAATATAAACTAAATTGTTACCACTGCTTCGCTGGATACATGCATTTTTACATATAAAAAAATTACACTTAACCAATTATAAAACAAAAATAAAACGTTCAAATTATTGTAGAGTATAAAAGTACTCTTCCTTCTGTTAACATTAGACAAATTTTAGTATTGGTAGTTGTAGTCGTAGTATGTAGTATGTAGCGTTAAATAAAAGTAGTTGAATTGTGTCGTTTTGTGGTAGTAGAAATTAATTCGTTTGTATGCATAATTAAAAAATAAATAAAATTAAATAAAAGTTAATATTTAAAACAATTTAACAAAATATGCAGCATACGCGTTACAATCAATCATAAATAAATAAAAACAATACACATCCATATGTATAATATATAAAACATATATATATATATATCTATACATATATATATATATGAATTTTTCTGTTATTTGGTTACTTTTTCGAAACTAAACTGTGATTAAAATAATAAACACCAAATATATTTACGCGTTTTCATTACATTTGGAAACACACGTATTTTACAAATCATACTGTTCAGCTGTACTGACCTCTTGTAATAAATCCTGTGAAGCGATTGCTTTTAAAACATTTTTCTTCGAAGTTTCTTGTATTTCACCTCCGATTAACAATTCATCTAATATAAAATAAGCTTTTTCAAAATTGAAAATAATGTCCAATTCGCAAACCTAAATTATGAAAATAAATTATTTTAAGACATTCCACATTAAAGTTCAGAACAATTGTTGATAAAATAGTAATAGTGTAAATCATTACATTAAAAAAAATTAATATACATTAACATATAATATACAACTCACGCTTCCAAAATATTTATCCAACAATTCCACGTAACGATGTATAATTTCTAACGTTAATAATTCGTTGTCATTTTGTTCAATCGCACAACAGAAATATAAACTAGCATAACTATTGAAATTTAAATATTTGAATAAGTGATTTTAACTATTTTCTATTTTATTGAATTTACCGTTTATAAACAATTTTGCAATCTTTCCACTCCAAAAATGAGCACATTTTAGGCTTTCGGGCCAGTATCGTAGTAACCAATTCACGTGTTATTTTTTTCTTCGTTTTATCAGCATATGCACCATACCATTTCTGCAATCTTAATTTGCCTTGTCGGCTAAACAATAACATGAAGAGCATCTAGAATTGGAAAATTGTGTATACATATATATTTGGAAAAATGCCCATATGCAGTAACCAGTTGTGTTGACATGTAAATATATACATATAGTTTTAGTTAGATATGAAATGCAATTATTCTACACTTACCATTTTCTCAAATTAACAGTTTATTAATATAGAAGAGTAAAAAAATTTAAAAGAAATGACTTAATTTTTATAGATATAAAAGACTCATATATCACGTATAGTAAGCAAATCCGCATTAAAAAGTATTGTCCAGCTGTCCACAGCAATGCTGCCACCTGAGTTCTAAATAAACCTATTCTCAAGAATACAAAGTATTTTTAAAAAATATTTTCTCATATGCAAAAAATAGTATTATTTTGCATTAATTTTTATTTCGATACTTATAATATAAAACTGCAACAAGTTTTTATTAGTTTTCACCAATTTTGCGTTCCTGAAAGCTAACATCAGGAGATAACAATTAGAATGCTTCACATTTTTAATTTACCACGTCAAAATCTTGCTAAAATATTTAATTGGTAAATAAAAGGGCATGAGTGCATATATTAGCCGTAATTATTTCATTCAGAGCAAGAAAAAAATAACATTAGGCCTTTTTGCTAGCTCACAAGTACGGCAAACAGCAAGCTGCTGGCCTATACTGGCACTACCTTGGTATACTGGTCGAACACATCGGCCAGTAAAAAAAAACGTTACCAACGCAATAAGTGAACTATTGTGAACCTTCATTGTAAATTCCAACAAATATTGCAATGACATGCCAAAAATCATATGTAAACAAAAATTTAAAAATCTCATAAATTTGAAAATTCTGTATTCATTTTAATTTTCAGTTTATATCAATTATTTATTTTTATACAAAATGTAATTTGCTTGTATTTTACTATTTGCCAAAACATAATACTTGACAGATGGCCAATGTCTCCCGTAACGAATATAGGCCAGCATTGCACCATATTTGCGAGCCAGCGAAAAGATCTATTAACTCTGGTTGAACGAAATTGGCAGCACTTTTAAAATATGTTGAACACTTTTGAACGAGGTAAAGTTAATCTGCATTTTCAATCTACACCGTTTACATTATACATTGGAGATTAATTTTGACGTTTCTCTTGTTGTATTTGGTTTCGCGTATTTGATAAATTTAATAAATACTTTTAAAAATTTATCATATTTTAGTTATTAATATGTACCAAACTATTATTAAAGAAATTTATTAAAAATTTACTCACTTCGGCATTTTCAAATTTTTAATGTTTGTTTTGAATAGATTTTAACAAATTACAGCTTGTTTCAATGTGTATAGCAAAGCGCATATTTCGTTTGCATAGCATTGTCTATATCATGCTCAAGCTGATAGCAGGTTACATTATTTCACCAAGCTTATAATATTTATATACGCTCTTAATTTTGCTACTGGTATCAATTGTATTCGTTTCGTGAAGAATAGTTTTGTTCCATCTGTTCACAATTGCAAATGTCAAAACTGTTCTCATGTTATTAGTCTGTTCAATATTGTGCACACGGTGTATAAAAGACGTTGCTAAAAACTGTATCTCGACAATATTAATTGTGATTGTATACCTCAAATAAATAAAAGCGTGGCAAATATGTCTATTAAATTAACTGCAAATGTTAATAATCCACCTATTAGTAAGTAAATAAGTTGAAGACACTAGCAACGCATTTTTATTTTTTAGGTTAAATGCTTTTTTTTTGCATCAAACGCAGCAATGCAACATGCGTATGATCATGTTATTATAGAATTGCATCATTAATTGTGAAATTCTAAATATTCATATTTATTAATTACAACAGGTGGTCTTGCTACTGCTCATCTAATCAATGATGCCGTACCTGTCGAAATCGTTTGGGGGAACGAAACTTCATTAGAGTTGCCGGGAAATCGCCGTTTAGTATGTCATTCAAATAATGACGTACTACGTGCACTTGCTCGTGCAGCTCCTGACTATAAATTATATGGAGAAACTGCAATCGAGCGTACACAAATAGATCACTGGCTATCATTTTCGCTTACCTGCGAGGAAGACATTTCGTGGGCAATGTCTTTTCTAGATAAATCCATAGCTCCGGTAACATTTTTAGTTTCAAACAAACTAACAATAGCAGATTTTGCGTTATTTAATGAAATGCACTCACGTTACGAATTCTTAAGTGCTAAAGGTATACCACAACATGTCCAGCGCTGGTACGATTTGATATCAGCACAACCACTTATTCAAAAAGTTTTAACCACTTTACCGGAAGAAGCTCGTTCATCTGTCAAACGCATCAATCGTACTAATGGAATAAAGGATCGCGAGACAACACCTTCAAAAACAAGTGAACGTAAACAAGAAGGAAAATTCGTTGATTTGCCGGGTGCAGAAATGGGAAAAGTTATAGTTCGTTTTCCACCAGAAGCTTCAGGATTTTTGCATATAGGACATGCCAAAGCCGCTCTTCTTAATCAATATTATGCTCTAGCATTTGATGGTACTTTAATTATGCGATTCGATGATACAAATCCAGCAAAAGAAACAGTTGAATTTGAAAATGTTATTTTGGGCGATTTGGAGCTCCTGGAAATAAAACCAGATTTGTTTACGCACACATCAAATTACTTCGACCTTATGCTAACATACTGCGAGCAAATGATTAACAATGATAAAGCATATGTGGATGATACACCACCAGATCAGATGAAACTTGAACGTGAACAAAGAGTAGAATCTCACAATCGCACTAACGGTACTGAAATACAACAAATACCGAAAAAAATTTATTATTTTAAATTTCCTTTTCTTTTATTAGATGCCAAGAAAAACATGTCGATGTGGCAGGAAATGATAAAGGGTACTGAATATGGGCAGAAATGTTGTGTCCGAGCGAAAATCGATATGCAATCTGCAAATGGTTGTATGCGTGATCCAACTATTTATCGTTGTAAAAATGAACCTCATCCACGAACTGGCACAAAATATAAGTAATTATTTTTCAAGACAAACTAATGCATTATTTATTTACTATTTTCTTTTAAGGGTTTATCCAACATATGATTTTGCATGTCCCATAGTTGATGCAATTGAAAATGTTACACATACTTTACGCACAATGGAATACCACGATCGCGATGAACAATTCTACTGGTTCATTGATGCATTAAAACTTCGTAAGCCATATATATGGGAGTACAGCCGTTTAAATATGACTAACACTGTTCTGTCGAAACGTAAATTAACCTGGTTCGTTGATTCTGGACTTGTTGATGGATGGTAATATTAACAGAATTTAAAGTATGTTGATGTACGTACTGAAAGTAAATTTTTTAACTTTTAATTAGGGATGATCCTCGTTTTCCTACTGTTAGAGGAATCATACGTCGTGGTATGACAGTTGAGGGTCTTAAGGAATTTATTATAGCACAGGGATCCAGTAAGTCTGTAGTGTTTATGAATTGGGATAAAATATGGGCATTTAATAAAAAGGTTATTGATCCGATTGCACCGCGATACACTGCCTTGGAATATAACAATCGTGTATTAGTTAATGTAGCTGGAGCAAAAACTGAACGTATAGAAGTACCTGTGCATCCCAAAAATGAAAGTCTCGGCAAGAAATCAATAACACTCGCACCACAAATTTATATTGACCAAGTCGATGCAGAAGCGCTGAAGGAAGGAGAAAACACTACTTTTATTAACTGGGGAAATCTTTTGATAAATAAAATAAATAAAGATACAAATGGTAAAATCACTTCCATTGATGCTTCGTTAAATTTGGATAATAAGGACTTCAAGAAAACGCTAAAACTTACTTGGTTAGCTGTTGAAAATGATGTACGAGAGTACCCACCAACTTTCTGTGTATATTTCGATCACATCATAAGTAAACCGGTACTGGGAAAAGATGAAGACTTTAAACAATTTATAGGGCACAAGACTCGGGTAAGTGAACGGAATATTTTAATATGAACTAAGTGGGTCTATATAGTTAATTTTTAAACCTCTAATAAACAGGAAGAAGTTGAAATGCTAGGTGATCCAGAATTAAAGAAATGTAAAAAAGGCGATATTATACAATTGCAACGTCGTGGTTTCTTTAAAGTCGATAATGCATACGCCCCGCCAAGTGTTTACAGTGGTGTCACATCACCAATTGTGCTATTCTCCATTCCTGATGGACATACGAAAGATATGCCATCTTCTGGTTTGAAAATTAATGCTGCAACTGCAACAGACACAAATAAAAACGTAAGTAAATTTGCAATTGTTATTATGATATGAACAATAGACATACTATATACATCTAACGTATTGTGGTGACCCAGCTTGAAGTTCGACTAGTTATTTACTGTAGTTGAAGCCGTTATTTACTGTAGTGAGTGTAAAAGCTAAGGCATAGTTAATGTTTCTCTTGATCGTAAGTAAAGAAAAACAATCCGTATAACACAACATTGTCTACTTAAGAAATGATAAGAAAAAATGAGAGGCAAAAGAAAGAGTATTCTTTCGTTTTACTAATTCAGTTTCGGCGTTTTGTTGGGTAGCTTCTGTTAATAAATGGAGTAATCCAACTCTGAATAACATATATACGCTAACATAACGAATAAAAATTTTATGCAGCAATGCATCAAACGTTGACCACCGAACTTTGAAAATCAAAGCAATATTTATTTGTTATTAAAGCTTTGGGTTAAGATCTCCGCGGCCACTTTTATATACTTGGTAAAATAAGTCCATTTTATGTACTAAAACTATAGGAACTACAAAATGCCATAGATTTATTTTATTGAATTATTTTTCATTATTTTTAATAATGTTATTTCTCTATTGTGTTATTCCGTGCGTTCTTCAACCGCTAGAGCTGACATGAAGGCCCAATGGGTGTGGGAAGCGGCAATTAGTGGTTGTAGACGAGTAACTCTGGAACTGTGAAAAGAATAGGTGTTGTTATACTGGACCTAAATGAATTACAGATATATATGTGTGTGGTTGTGTTTACCGTTGGATGTGATGTATCTCAAACCGCAATTTTCATATTAAGTGATGATTTACCATATTTTCATTAGAAATACCAACACAATTTCCGCGCTTAATGATATTTCAAAAATCATTATTGGTTAAGTATATTTCTTTCCTAGTGCTGCACTTGCTCTTACAAAACCAGTTTGATGTCTAATAAAAAAGTCCACTACATTCTCTTATCGGAAACGGTTCTCTTCTTTCTCTCTCTTTTGCACGAGCATAAGCAGCAGCATTTGTTGTTATTAATTTGTTGGTGTTTGTTCGTCTTACACGCTGCAGCACTACAGAGCACAGATTTTGTTTGGCTTTCATTGCGACGTGTGTTGTATGTTGTGTGTTTGCTTAGCGAAGTTTTTAGCTCATAATTTGGTCTGCTTGCGAAGACGGTTAGAGGCTGGTCGCGGAAGGTATGACGATAGTTTTTGTAAAGAAACGTTGACAAACACGTTAACGTGTTAAATGCTGACGTATACAATATTAAAATTATGGAAATCACTCATTAAACACATAAAATACATCAACTATTATTTTTAAATTAAAATTAAATATATATTTTTTTTAATAAAAGGTTGCTCCATTGTCAAAAAAACAGAACGAATCCGATTTGGATAAGAAAATAGTTAACCAAGGCGATTTTGTACGCATTCTTAAAAATAAAAAGGCACCAAAAGCTGAAATCGACGTCGAAGTCAAAAAGCTGCTTGAACTCAAGGCAGTCTACAAGTCATCAACTGGCAAAGACTGGAAACCTGGACAGAGTGCAACAAATACACAAAGTGCCACGACCACATCAGGCGATGCGCACACACTAAATGAAAAAATAATTACACTTGGAGATTCTATACGTGAATTGAAATCTAAAAAGGAATCAAAAACAATCATAGAGACTCAAGTTAAAGCCCTTTTAGATCTCAAGGCTGAGTATAAATCAGTTACTGGACAAGATTGGAAGCCAGGAGTAGTTGCACCAATCGTTGTCAAAAAGGAAAAGTCTTTAGATGCTGTTGATAGCAGTATAATCGAGTCTTTACTAAGCAAAATAACTCAACAAGGGGATAAAATTCGAGAACTTAAGTCTGCAAAAGCAAACAAAGCTACCATAGAGCCAGAAGTAAAAGTATTACTTGCACTTAAAACGGATTATAAAAATCTAACAGGTCAGGATTGGAAAATTGGCGCTACAGCACCTCAGCAAACCGATGTCACAGCGGAAGTAATAAAAATTGATCTAACCAGTGAATCAAATAATTCAGAGTTAGAAAGCATTTTAGAAAAAATCCAAAGTCAGGATAACAAAATCCGTGAATTAAAATCGCAGAAAGCTCCTAAATCATCTATAGAACCAGAAGTTCAAATTTTACTTAAACTAAAGTCTTCGTATAAAACACTAACAGGTAAAGATTGGACACCTGAAGCAAAAATGGACAGAACTAAAGCAGCAACTACACCTAACATATCTTCGGCAACCGAAAAAGAACTACTTACGAAAGAAATAAACGAGCAAGGCGAGAAAGTGCGTACAGCTAAAACCAAAAACGCATCAAAGGACGTAATTGACGCTGAAGTTAAGAAGTTATTAGCGCTTAAAGCTAAATACAAAGAAGTTACTGGCACAGATTTCCCCGTAGCTGGACGTGGAAGTAGCAGTTCTGCAAAGAAAACCAACGAAAAAGCTACTAAGACCCAAAAAACTGAATTGAAAAATGCCTCGAAAACGGAAACACCAACTGGCGCTGTTAAGAAACAAACTCGTTTAGGCCTTGAAGCAACCAAAGAAGACAATCTGCCTGAGTGGTACACACAAGTAAGACTTAATTTCTAGTTAAATCTAATAACTTTTTCTATATATCTCAATTTAAATTTTTTAGGTTATAACCAAAGGTGAACTTATTGAATACTATGACGTTTCCGGCTGTTACATTCTACGACATTGGTCATTTGCTATTTGGAAGTATATAAGATCTTGGTTTGATGGCGAAATAACAAAAATGGGGGTAAAAGAATGTTATTTCCCGATGTTTGTTTCAAAAGCAGCTTTAGAAAAGGAGAAAACGCATATTGCTGACTTTGCACCTGAAGTAGCTTGGGTTACTAAATCCGGTGAGTCTGATTTAGCTGAGCCAATTGCAGTACGTCCAACGTCTGAAACAGTTATGTATCCTGCATATGCAAAATGGGTTCAGTCATATCGTGATTTACCGATTCGCCTAAATCAATGGAATAACGTAGTCGTAAGTTATAAGTCAATTTCTGCAATCTGCAATATGCAATATGCAATCTGCTCCATGTACCAACTTATTTCTTATCTTCTTATTTTGATAGCGTTGGGAATTTAAACATCCGCAACCATTTTTACGTACACGAGAATTTCTTTGGCAAGAGGGACATAGCGCTTTTGCAAACAAATCCGAAGCTGAAAAAGAAGTTTTAGATATATTAGAATTGTATGCACAAGTCTACACAAATCTCATGGCAATACCAGTCGTTAAAGGACGAAAAACGGAAAAGGAGAAATTTGCAGGTGGTGATTACACAACTACAGTTGAAGCATTTATATCTGCTTCAGGTCGTGCAATTCAGGGCGCAACAAGCCATCATTTAGGACAAAACTTTTCAAAAATGTTTGAAATCGTTTTCGAAGATCCGGAAACTCAGCAAAAAGAATTTGCATGGCAGAATTCATGGGGTATAACAACGCGTACTATTGGTGTTATGATTATGGTTCATTCTGATAATCAAGGATTGGTTTTGCCGCCACATATAGCGTGCATTCAAGCAATCATTGTACCATGTGGAATTACTGTTAACACGAAAGAAGATGAACGGGAACAATTAATGCAATCATGTAAAAATCTCGAAAGACAATTGAGTGCGAAAGGTATACGTTGCGAAGGAGATTACCGTGATAATTACTCTCCAGGCTGGAAATTCAATCATTGGGAATTAAAAGGTGTTCCTATTCGTATTGAAGTCGGACCTAAAGATATGAAAGCAAATCAAATTGTAGCAGTACGCCGCGATTCAGGTGAAAAATTGATTTTAGCTTTGGATGATGTCGACTCAAAAATTCAGCAACTTCTTGAAACAATTCACGATAGCATGTTGGCGAAAGCACAATCAGATTTGGTTCAGCACACAAAAATAACAAAGAACTGGTCCGACTTTTGCATGTTTTTAGATCAGAAGAATATATTACTTTCTCCATTCTGTGGTGAAACGTCATGCGAAGATAAAATCAAAGCCGATAGTGCAAGGTAAGTATTCAGTACAGTACAGTACAGCACAGTCGCATGTACATGTATACATTTATAATTATTTTTTCTTAATTGTTTAATTTGACAGAGATCAAGAAGCTGAGCCTGGTGCTCCAGCTATGGGTGCTAAGTCGTTATGCATACCATTCGATCAACCAGCTGCCATAACAGTAGCTGACAAATGCATTCATCCAAGCTGCACAAATAAACCTAAATTTTACACGCTGTTTGGGCGTAGCTATTAAAAAGCATGTAAAAAATTGGGATTCAATTCGATTGAATTTAATAAAAATAAATTAAACTTTTAATGTTATACATATTTGAAAAAACTTTTACAATTTTGTTAATTTGCAAATTAAGTTATTTAAATAAAAATTGAAAATATGAAATTTGTTTTTTATTATTAAACGTAGAGTTTTTGTTATGTGAAATCTCCACCTTAGTTCTCTGAAATTAGTAAATCAGAAAATATCACTTATTTCAACTCTAATCTGCGTTATTAAAAACAATTAATTAATCTCTATTAACCTCGACCAAAATTAGATTATCTTTTGTATGGGAAATCTGTGATTAAACAACTAGATAACTACTTTGATCTCGATAATTGCTTTAGGACGTGTGCGAGTTAGGCTAAGTTGATACTAAACCAAATGGGAGATTTTTGGGATTTTTTGCACTGCACACATTTAGCCATTTATCAACACATATCGACACATCACTACATTACCGGCACAACTTGGAATTTCCCTCATTTAGAACACAACTTAGGTCGTGTGCGAGTTAGGCTAAGGTCGTGTGCGAGTTAGGCTAAGTTGCGTTCTAAATGAGGGAAATTCTAAGTTGTTTCGATAATGTATTGATGTGTCGATACGTGTTAATAAATGGCAGTACAAAAAATCCCAAAAAATCTCCCATTTGGTTTAGCATCAACTTAGCCTAACTCGCACACGTCCTTAGCCTAACTCGCACACGACTATAATATAATTTTGAGAATATAAAAAAGAGTGAACCAAAAAATAAAATGAAAAGTAAATTGTTTTCTTTTTTAATTTTTTTTCAATATAGTTTGCCGCCCTATTTTCTAATTCTTTATTGTTATTTCTTAGTTTTGAACTCAATATAATTATTGTTGTAAAGGAATCATTAAACTTAATTAATCACCTATACATGTAAAACTTTACTAAAAGTTTGGTTTGAACGTTTTTAATGATATTATAAACCTATAGGCTAATATAGCCTATATATAAACCTATTTAATTGTTTGGTAGCTTTATACTAAGGTCGTGTGCGAGTTAGGCTAAGTTGATGCTAAACCAAATGGGAGATTTTTTGGGATTTTTTGCACTGCACACATTTTGCCATTCATCAACACGTATCGACACATCAATACATTATCGACACAACTTAGAATTTCCCTCATTTAGAACGCAACTTAGCCTAACTCGCACACGACCTAAAGCGAGTAAAAATTGTTGATAAAGCAGCAATCACAATTAATTAATAACCTAATATAATTACTTTGTTAGTGAATTTTATTAAGTATTACATATAATGTATAAAGACTGGAAGCGTCTCCTTTTCTTCCTTCACCTATAATTTAACTGAAATTCATTTTAATGTAAAATTCGAATAATTTAAAAATTTCATTTGAAATAAATTACATATTACAATAAAACTGTAATAATAATTGCACAGCATTTATGGTCGTAATTTAAGGTCGTGTGCGAGTTAGGCTAAGTTGCATTCTAAATGAGGGAAACTCTAACTTGTGCCGATAATGTAGTGAAATGTCGATACGTGTTGATAAATGGCTAAATGTGTGCAGTGCAAAAAATCCCAAAAAATCTCCCATTTGGTTTAGCATCAACTTAGCCTAACTCGCACACGTCCTAAGTCTCAAAACTGATATAGTCTCGATATTGTACTTAGACGTGTGCGAGTTAGGCTAAGTTGATGCTAAACCAAATGGGAGATTTTTTGGGATTTTTTGCACTGCACACATTTAGCCATTTATCAACACGTATCGACATTTCACTACATTATCGGCACAAGTTAGAGTTTCCCTCATTTAGAATGCAACTTAGCCTAACTCGCACACGACCTTAGTCAGGAAAGTTGATTACTTACGCATGATATAATTCAATCTTAAGACTTGAACTAAGACTACAAAATCCACCTTTGTTATTTGTAGCGGAATTTATGTCATGTGGTCTAATATTCAGCTTCAAACGGGCTACAATTGATTTGTGAATGAAATTAATTGTATTTTGTATTGCTAAAGTTGCATTCTGTATAAAATGAAGCTAATAGTAATTTAGAGCAAAACAAGATTTGACGATTCATGTGACAAAATATCTCCAAATGAATTACAGTGGACGTCCAATATAACGAATTTTATGTTGCACCCCTTGTTCGTTATATCGAAAAATTCGTAATATCGAATGTTATACATTTACCTACCAATATGGTTATTTTTAGGAGATTTCATATATTTGAGTTCATAAATTAACTTATAAACACGTACGAGTATATATTTATTTAAAAGTATTTTTTATTCGGTTGTTACAAAAACTATTTATAAGAAAGGACGCATTCAATCATAGTGTAGAGTAAAAAAAAATCATTAATTTTTGTTTGTTTTTTACTACACTCAAGACTTTTCTGAACAGCTTTTTCTTGTAGTTCTCTTAGTACAGCTAATTTTGTCAAAATTAATTTTTAAATGATATTTTCAAACAAATACATATTAAATATAAACACCTTAATATGTACATATATATGTCTGGATAGTATTTCGTATATGATAAACTGAATTTGTGAACAACAGATCAGTGGCGCCTGCATATATGCATTTTGCCATATATAGGCATTTTTCTCAGAAAAAAAAAAAAACGGACAATTACATGCATATTCTAAGCTGAATAATGCTAGTTTTATAGTAAAATTATATTCAAAAGCATAATTTGTATAAAACAAAAACGAATAAGAAACAAAAAATTTTTTGTTCGTAATATGGAGCAGAATTTTTTTTTTCGTTCGTTATATAGAACAATCAATGTAAATATTTTGGGTGTTCGTTATATCGAAAATTCGTAATATCGAGCGTTCGTTATACTGGACGACCACTGTATATAGGTGCGAGTTCGAGTACATTGAGGTAAAGTAAATTGAAATTTCCTAGGGATTTTTTGCACTATACTTATGTAAATATTTATTTATTTACAATTTTCGGTCAAATTTATTTATTTATTTATTAAACATCTTATAAAATTTTCTATATGATAACATCTAGATTAACCTAATTTATATTTAATTTAGCCTACCCGAAATTCTGATAAATACCAACATTCGCTGCCATACCAACATAATATACTATTTCCCTCAATTTACTCGAACGCGCACACGGTCATAGTCAAATAAAATTTGATTTAAAAAAAAACTAGAAGTAATTATACATTTGAAAAATAAAATTAAAAAATACAACTCTGTTGCAAATTTTTTATCTATACAATTGTAGTTGTAAATCAACTCATGTCAGGAAAAGAAAGCAACAGCGGCATTTCTAGATCTGAGCTAAGTTTGTCTACATAAAAGCAGAGGATTTTTTCATATAGTACGCGTATATAGAACAATTTTTAATTAAAAGTTTGTATTTTCAAAATCGAAAATGGTTAAAGAGAAGAAGCAATTCAAGATAGGTGATTTGGTGTTCGCGAAAGTTAAAGGATACCCAGCATGGCCAGCAAAAATCACGAAATACAACAATAAGAAGTATAACGTATACTTCTACGGCACAGGAGAAACTGCAAACATAAAAATAGAATATTTAAATAGATTGTTGTGTCAGCCCAGATGGTTTGTTATAGTATTTAAGTGCCCTGCATGACATGGTGGCAAGCCCGGTATGCTCGCCGGTTTAGGGGTGGGGTTCTTGGCTACTCAAATCCTACTGCTGACATCGAACAAAAAAAAAACATGTCATGACTTACTTCCATCCATTTTCGTAACAAAAAAATAAACTATATCTTCTTCATAGGTATATATATATTCTATATACATTCTTCTATTCACTTACTATAACTAGGTAGATTAATAACTATTACTAAAACTAATATATATCTTTCAATTTCAAAACTTGCATATATAATCCTAATTCTTTATAATTCAATTTTTTTTTTGTTTGTTTTTTTTTCTTCTTTTCTATCCTTTTTGTTTCAATTTAACTCAATTGGTCTTTCCATCACTTCATACTACTGACAAAAAAACAACAGACAATACCTAACCACCCAGACATAATGTTTTTTTTTTTTTCTTTTATATTTTTGGTTTCTTAAATTTAAAAAAACATTCATCGTAGAAGATGGGCATTGTTTTTTTCCATTTGAAATTATTACACAGGCCGCAGGTGTGTCATTATTGGGAGAACGTCCGGCTTCTCCAGGACTCACGTCCAGAGCACGCATCATTTGTATCATTTCTTTCACAATGCAGTGATGCTCCTCATAGCTAACCTGCGGCATTGGTCCCTCAATACATTCATTGACAGTAGCCATACTTCTATATTGATCAATAGGCACGTCCGTGGTTTACTGTGCCTCTCTTTACTTAACTGATTTTATTTTTGCTAGGCCCCCTTGATCTACCTGAAGCACACCTCTAGAGCTAACAGTTGGAGTCTAAATCATAATTAGGCTATTGCTATTAGCCGAATACAGTTCCACTCACATAAGAATATATTAATTTGTATAAGTGTAATCAAAAACAAAAGTTTTCTGGTTTAAATTTAAATCTTTCCTCTTTTTTCTTTTATTTATCTGTTTATTATAAAGTAATAATAACAAAAAGAGAGAAAACAAAAAAAAATATATATATATACTGACAAATGAAATAAAATTTATTCATACATCATAAAAAAACTAATATTTTTAACCATCATCTATTGTTATATACTTATATGTATACTTATAAATATAATTGAAATTAAGTACATATCTAAATCAAATTAGATAAAAATATCTCTAATGCACATCAATTTTTTTTTTTTTTTTACTATCAACCTGCGTTTATTATTATTATTTTTTTTAATTGAGTTTATACCAGGTACTTACTAGCCCCGCTGAAATGACGTCACCTCGCGCGCTCCAGTTACCTAGCTGCATAAAAAAAATTACAAAGAGAGAGTTTATGTAAAACACATGAATCCGTGTCTATATTGCAAAACAACTACTAATGTGCTTAAAGAGATTTTCTGTCTTTTGAAAAATTTATGTTCACAATAAGTTAATTTATATATTCATTATTCATGTATTAATTAAAAACAATAAAAAAAATTCAAAGAAACTAAAAA